CAAACCTTTTTTAAATACTAAATAATATAAGAAACAGAAATATACGATGCAATCTAAAAATCACAGCATGATTCTGATTTATCATGGAAGAGAGATACTTTTGAACATTTTTTCTTGCACCAATAAATATTTCACGTAATGCCAATGAATATTTATTTGAATAATGATTGTCTAACTATCAAATTTAGCTCGAATATCGTGAATATCAATTCACGATCTACTCTGTACATAAATAGTTAGTAGTTCATTTTTCACATAAATAATGCACTTTGATGATACAAACCACGAAATTAATCGATTAATTTACTAAAGTCATGATTATGCTTCTGGAATTCTTAACAAAAGAGACAAACGGGATATAATCGTATTCTGAATATAAAGGTTCCCCTAACCATTAATCTATTAATTTTTAAACATATCATTTATTTCCAAAAAGTTGCTACAGGAGAATTGGGTATGCAAACAGTCTATCTACCCACTGTGAGTAAAGTAGCAATGTATTACACTAATAACGATGAACGTGCGTCAATCACAGTCCGCCGAGGTGTTCAAATTATCTTCATTATTCAATCAGCTTAAGTTATATCTATTACTCGCACGCGTAAACGTTACTCACGTTATATTTAACGTCGACGATGCACCGTTAAATTAGACGACGGAGCCCGTGTATCGATTGTATATCGTTATTAGATTATGCCAGCCTAATTCCGTTGAAAGGTACTCTCTTTCGTTAACGAAGGCAAAGTAAACATTAAAGCAACACTACCCTCAAGCCCGTGGAGCGATTTCAATTTGAATGAAATTTTCTTACACTGGAAAGCTCGAAAAAGTAAAAAAAGACGTTGGTTCTTGGTCGTCCGTCGCCTAATTCAAAGCGTGTGCGTCGGTTGCGTTCCCTCATACACGCATAATAGTCAATTTTAACAATCTAGTTCAGTCGTACAGATCACACAATTGGTGAGGTTAATTGCTGAGGGTAGGAGGTAAAGGAAAGTCCAAAAATATTAATGTTAGAGAAATAGTTATGTAATTATGATAGAATCATTGTTCGCAATAAACAGATCATACCGTTGCATGTACATTTATAATAAATTAAAATTGTAATAAATTTTCAAGATATTTCAATGTGTAATATTATTAAGTAACAGTTTGCTATCTGCGTTTCCTTAAAATTATAATTAAATCCCTTTTTACATGTTACTAAATATTATGCAACAAAAGAATGCATATTATTTATTCTAAATAGTTTTTAAATATATAAAAAGTATATAAAACTATAATATATATAAAACTAAATATATAAAACTGATTGATTTTGATCTTGTCGTTAATTTGACCAATTAAGAACTGTGTATACAAGGAATAATATACTAACAATTGTTTAATATTTTAATATGTTAATCTTGTTATATGTACATATACATGTATATAATGATCACATTATTACCAGATCTGGATGGTTAAGTTTTTATTTTGGGTCACATATTGTTTTCCAATAACAATATCATTTGTTAAGATTATAATGCACGTCGCATACAGAGTTAAAATAACTCAGTCTTGGTTTGAGAAATACCAAGAGAAACTTCATCGTCATTCATAATAAACACTATTACCTAATTTAGTATCACGGAGCCACTTCTGGCAGTTTTGAATAATAAAGCAAGAAGCAAATTCCTTCCTTTAATATCTCCAAAACAATTGGAAAACGTTTTAATAGCAAAATAGAATAACATTCCACTGGAAACTGTTGAAAAGGTTCATGATTATTTCAAGAAAGAAATAAACTGTAGTAAAGGTGGTACTCTATTATTAATAGAACAATGTAATGTATATGACAGATGCTTACATTGTCTTGTGTACCTCATATACACAGTTGTTTAATCCCTATCAGACGTGCTGTTACTAAACCGAAGACTCATATTAAAATCTTTGTTTGGAGAGGAATTAATGAGATTTAGACGATTTAAATATAGAACTTGTGGTTGAAATGATAAAACCACTCAATTTTGTTTACATAAGTCGGAAACAGATGAATCAATCGAATTAAAATTTGTTGTATGCTATAGCCTAATTGCTATAACAATTTTCCAACTACATAAGTAATAAATGGTAAACTTTAGACATTTTTCTAGCTATTTCAAAAGTGTTACAGCCATTTGTAAACATACTCGACAAACAAAGAATAGTTCAACAATCGAAGTATGATCAAATTAATGTTTCAGCAGATACATTTCTTGAAATTGTTAAGAAATAATTGCAGAATAAGACGGAAATCAAACTATACACATAATCAAATATTCCTTTGAAATTTTAGATGGAACATAAATAGTTCAATTAATATCATTAACTAATGTAATAATTACATGAGTGAAAAAGGAAATTCATGTCTTCCTTTTTATTAGTATTAACGAAATATTGGATAAATATAAACATCATTTAATTATTTTTCGCTGAACCTGATCATTTCAGGTACTTGTTTAATGTAATACAATTTCTCGTGTATATTATACTTTCCTTCTTTTCCAAATATAGCGTAGAAAGTCGGTAAATAAATCAAAATACGAAACGGTTTATTAATGTTTAGCACCTAATCACAGAATCAATATTTTCTTAGCCCCATTTATTAAGTGGCTCAAAAAAACGTTCGATAAAATATAAATCTGTCTAATCAAAGATATAAATACATTTATCATGATGGTTGAAGTACATTTGAATGCACTACATCAAATTTTGAATTAGTAACTGCAATTTTCAGGAAAGTTATTTTTCGTTAAGAATCTGACCATTTAATTTCAACAACTTAGCAGGTGCTAACATAATGATTCTTTTTATTAACATTAACGTACGGACATGAAATTTCAACGATACTCGATTAACACCTAGACTTTATCTCTCTTTGCGCTTTCTTGTTTTTATAAATCAGTCATTAGAAAACACGAATGCCCCCATTTGTCGTAATTGCAATCTTGCAAACAACATGATAAAAAATAAAAGTTTGATCTGTTGTAGATACACGAGAACTTAAAATAGGATATTTTTTCCTTTTTCCTTTCTTTTCCCAATAATAAATAGTCAAAGTTTCTTGCAGTCGTTATGAAACAGCTTATAAGCCATACACGCAATCAAGATAAATCAGAAACTTTTATTCTCTCAAACCAGAACTATTCGCGTCTAGGTTTACATACACCGACCCTATTACTCAAATATATGTATAATGCAGGAAATAATTATTGTCGCCGGTTACACGTCGGGGGTTTAATGTCGCACATTAATCTCTTCGATTGAACCCATCGAGGCCTGTACCATAAATCGTCATTTATTATTAAAATACAAATATTTTTTTCAGACTTTGTACCATAGGATTGATTCTTTTTATTAAATAAATAAAAACAGTTAAATAAAATTTAATAGAACTAAATTTGTATGTTGCGAATACTTAAATAGAAACACTGTGCACGACTATTATTATTATTACTTATTGTTAGTGTAACAAGTGGAAATAGAAGGTAAAATGTAGCATCTACAGTTTCATAATTTATACAGTAATATAATCGAAATTAAATTAAATAAAAACTAAAAAAATAAATAAAAGTAAATAAAAATAAATTAAAAGTATTTAAAATGTTATTACTTATGAAGGTATGCGTGTACAAACAGGATGTCAAAATGTTACGTCGCGTTTCTTTAATTCTAATATCTTTTTATATATCTGTATACGTTTTCTAATTTCAGATTTTGAGTTATACACTTATCTCTAAAGACGACCCAAAAGTACGAAATTGGCTTGTTAAAACATGTATTGTTTTTCTAAGATAAGCATGAAATTTTACTGGTAATCGTTATTATTATATTCCTCCATTCCACGTGCGTTCAAGTATTTTACATAAAAGAGAAATATAATTCAAAACACCGTTATAAAGACTCCACAAAAGTAATACAATTAAATCCGAAACAGTCCTGTCTCCTTCTAAATTTCTGAAGAGAATTAAAGATGCAAACCTGACGAATTAACAAAAGACATAAGAAATACAGAACATTTCAAACAAGCCAGATGTAATGTTGGTCAACGAATCCTAAACAACAAATCCTAAAAATAAACCTTTTGTTTTCTACCACACACCATTCGACACAATTGCTTTTCTTTTTTGACACGGAAATTAATCGAAGAACCAGAGGCAAAAATTCGTACAGGTCACTGAAAGTCTCTAGTAGAGTCTCTAAGGTTCAGAAAAGTCCGGTTACGACTCGATAATGGAAAACCACTCCATTCGGTGAGGAATTTTTCACCGTGGACAAAGAGCTTGCGGTCAAGGCGTTCGAAAATACGCGGTCCGGCACTGACGGGAACGAAGTGCCCCGTTAGAATGGTGGGCCCTTAAGCTGAGACTTAACCAGGCCTGCGGGGACCACACGGCCTCGGGCAAAGAGGACGTCGAGGAGGGCAGCCCACTACCAACGAACTGAAACACCATTCTTCGTTCCTTTCTAACCGAATGCTCCACGATCTTTCCACCTCCCTTTCTCCCGGCTCTTCCTTTTTCTACCTGTTTCTCTTTTGCTCGTTTATTCGCACCCTAGTCCCGGATCGTTCATCAGGGGTGCTCATTTTTCGTCGATACGCGAATCAGCAAGAAAAGAAAAATAAAGAAATCCAAAGATAGCATAGAAGTAAATTCAGTCTCATTAACCGAGAGTAAATACAACTTCGACTACAGTCGCATAGATTTGTGTTACTTATCCGCCTTTAAAAGAAAAAAAGGTATTGTAAGATAGAGCGAATACAGTAGCGGACAAAAGTTTAAGACGATGATTCGTAAACCGGATTACAAACATCTTATACGTATATTGTTCTTCTATTCGGTTTGCCTCTTTGGAATAACATAGCTCTATGTTTGACCTTTGTAACTTCAGATCGTCAGTTGTTAAATGCAAACAATGTAGGAGTCACAACAGCCAGTTACGGCTTAGCACTTGTAAACAGTGGACATTAGTTTAAGGCTAAAACGATTTGTGTAAAACGTGAGTATGCGTACAGTTTTTGAACATTTTGATTCTGGAATGTCAAAATCATTGTTTAGTGTGCCTTTTATAGCTTAAAATTCATTTAGGTAGGAACAGACTATGAGTAAATCAAAGAATTTACTTGAAAACGAAAGGGAACAAATCGTAAGGCTGCGAAAGCAAAGTAAAACCTTCACCGAAATAGCCGAAATAGTGAACAGGTCAGAAACGGCTTGTAAGTAAGCTTGGTATACATTTTTAAAGACAGGCATGTATTGCGATCAACCGAAAAGCGGAAGACTACGGGAAACAACCCCGAAAATGGATCGCCAGATTCATCGATTGAGCGAAAAGGATCGTTTTCGTAGTGCAAATAATATTGCTGCAGAGATAAACTATAAAAACGATACACAAATTAGTGTTAGAACTGTTAGGAAAAGATTAGGAGACTTTAACTTAAGAGGGCGAAAACCTCCAAAAAAACCACTGCTGAGTTCGAGGAATCAAAAAAGACGACTTGCATTTGCCAAAGCTCATAAGCATTGGACAAGTGAAGATTGGCAAAAGGTATTATTTTCAGATGAATCGAAATTCATACGCGTCTGTTCTGACGGGATACGGTACGTTAGACGTCGAATTGGCGAAAGTTTGAAAACACGGTGCGTTTTAAAAACTCTTAAACATGGTGGTGGAAACGTTGTGGTGTGGGCGTGTTTTTCTCGAAGCGGTCCTGGTCCGATATGTCGTATCAATGGAATTGTGGACCGTTTTCAGTACATGGACATACTCAAGAACATAATGTTGCCTTTTGCACGCAACAATATGAGTGATGATTTTATTTTTCAAAATGATAATAATCCGAAGCACACGGCTCAAGTTGTGAAACAGTTTTTTCAAGAAGAAAATATTACCGTGCTGCCGTGCCCGTCGCAATCACCAGACATTAATCCAATCGAAAACTTGTGGAGCATCATAAAAACAACAGTACCAGGCTATAAACCGAAAAATTTAAATGAACTTTACTCTACAATTGAAACAGCTTGGAGTAATATTACGGTAGATCAATGTAAAACATTAATAGATTCTATGTCAAGAAGAAATAACGGATATTGAACAAAATATTGAGTTTAAACAAAAATTGTGGATATTTTTTTACCAAAAATTATTATTTTTTGTGTAGTCTTAAACTTTTGACTGACGAAATATTATACAAACTTCGTTCCTTTTTTTGTAACTTCGCTACTGAGCAAAATGTCATAATGAAATTTTTGTTGTATGTGTATAAATAAATGTCTAATTAGGTAATACTAAAAGTAGAACACTGTATTTATATTTTTTACGGACAGTAAATCAATTATTTATTTTTTCCATTTCGTCTTAATGTTTTGTCCGCTACTGTACGTTGTATGTCTTAGGGAAATGGAAAGAGAGTGATAGAGTATGCAAGTACGAAACGAATATACATAGTTGTTCTTTATAATAAGAAATGTTGTTAGATAAAAGAAAGGACAAACTGTGCTACGAATGTTAAATAGCAATTGTAAGATAGAGCGAATACAAGTATGCCTCAGAGAAATGGAAAGAGTGTGAGAGAGTAGGTTAGTATGAAATTATTAGTTATAAGATTATTAATTGTGCATCACATAGTAGTGAGATAAGGAAATCTATGTATCCTATCATTTGAAATAAAATACAAATACAAAATACACGAATCAGCGTTTTAAAGAGAAGAAAATTCCGCGAGTAATAAAGGATTTTAGGATTTTGATTATTAAAAACGTCGGTGTAAGTGTACACTTAAACGGCATCAACTTTCATGTTCATTTGTCTAAAAATTGAATGTATTCCATACCATTTCTCTTAAAACAGAATCCTGACCTTCTTTTGGAAAACCCTTTGGTTATAGTTGTCCTAAGAAAATGACACTACAATTAATCAACGACAGCAACTCCCCCTTTCTTAAATGATATATCACTAGACCTAACGAGATAAATTTATACTTGTTATACATATAACTATCGAATTGGAGATGGACGAATAACTGCAGGAAAGGGTTACATTTAATAATAATATTAGGTGGACTGGAAAGTAATGTCGTTTTTGCCATCTTAAATACTTGTTTATCATTTATCAGCTCATTGATTTTTCTGGCATTGAAAATTTGCACACTAGGTGACAAAAGGCTGCTGACAATGAGAGCGATTATATTGAGAATGAATTAAAGATAGAAATTTATTGGAAAGTTTGAATTTAATGTAAAAGAAACGACATTACTTTGCGATCTACCTAATAATAAACTATTCGCTTATTTCAATAATGATCACCAAAAGTTGTGGCAGAACATTGTTAATAATTGAATACCTACGTTTTAAAGGAGTATCGAAATACATTGGTCACATTAATCAGTTTAGTAATTCTGGAGACATGTAAATAAGTACCTTGGTACTAGTAATAATCATTTGTTATTAATATTGGTGAGAACTTAATTATATTGATTTTTTAATTTATTCGACTTATGGGATGTATTTGTATAAATCGTAAATGCCGTTGAATACTAAAAACTTTTACTTCCTTATACCTAATTTTCTGAACTACTTGTATACATTTATGAAATATATATATATATATTATTTACAATTTGTAAGAATGTGTTCAATATTCAAATGAAGAGACCCGTAAATAGATCGACAATGATTGATTTAGATTACAAGAGTCAATTTACCCACAATTCACTATCCAAACTCACAAACAAGATATAGTATAGACTATATTACATATAGACTATATACAAGTAGACTATACAATAGACTATATTACATTGTTTCCTTTGAGTATTTTTGGCTCATTTTCTTTCTCATTTATTTTTCATTAACAACACTACACTATATCTTAACTGAACCCTTTGATCTACGAGTTACTCTAGGATCGTGCGTCCCATAAGCAAGTATAAAATTCTTTGCGCCCTTTCATTCGACGCGACGTGCCTGACTCGTGTTTCTCATCTTCGACTTAAATTCTATACCACAAGTCTCACATGTTGTTATAGATTAAAGGGTTAATAGAATTATTTAGATGATGTTGCTCCTACCTATTCCTACCCTTACACATGTTGATTGTTTGTTTTTTCGTACCGTCAATATTTATGCATTATTAAATGCATTAGAAGAAAATTCATTCATTAGAAGATAATTCATTACAAGAAAAACTTAAAGTTTTACTTCTGAATAGAAATTGTTCGATTAATTGTTTCGAAAAAGCTCGACAATACGATTAAAGTTATTTCTATTCGTTCAAAATAAAATTAGCTTGCAGCAACATTTACTGAGCAACAACGACGCATCATAACAAATAACAACGCTGTTAATCCTCAATTGCCAGGCATACCTACGTAATAGTCACGTGTTTTGTCACAGAGGTATAATGCGATTCACTATATTAATTTCTGGAGGATACATTATGCAAATTTCGCTCTAATTATCAATTCGTAATGATCACTGTAATATCTTGTTTAGCGCTGAATAACGTAACATTTATGCATACATTCATTTACAACACATGTGAGGTTAGGTTGACAAGCAGCCTCTGAGTATACATGATTTTTGAGCAAATTAATTATGCAATACATGTTCTACCAATGTGTACGAAAGATGTTAATAATAATTATTAAATATTCTGTAGTATATATTGATAATAATAATATTTTCGGGGAAGGCAGATGAGTAATAATTTAGAACTTAATAATTAGAACGTAAAGAAATCTGTCAAAAATGTTATACCGGGTGATTCACGAGAAACAGAACACCTAAATATCTCAGTTCGACTTAAAGATAGAAGAAAATGTTATAGGAAAAAGTTGTACTGTTTAAAGGGGGCAAATATGAGGATATAAAAAAAATTTCCGAATTTTGTCATTTTCAAGGTTTTTTGAAGGTCATCGGTAATTTTTGGATTA